CCTCCTTCCTTCCTCCTTGGGCCTTGGCCCTTCATTCCTCCTTTGAGAAACACCATTGAGTCAAACCCTTGACCCTCGGTGTTGTTCCTCTTTCCATCTCCCTTTGTCTCCTTTCGTCCTACCCTCGCTCCTTTTGATTCCGGACCCCTCCTTATATACAATGTACATAGTAACTTGTAACCTCAGTCCGAAATCAACATGAATTCCCCCCAAGAGACTTTCCCTCTGCTAGATCTGAAATTAGGGACCCCTAGGACAACCAGCAATGGCACAGCGCTCCGCATGAGTTGCTGAGGCCGAGGTCCTTCCATGCTAAGTCTCCGATTCCACTCCGGAGTTGTCCGAATCCGCTAGTTCTAACAGTGAATCCCTTTGAGAGTCCCAGTATCCCTCACTACCGGTACGCTCCATTGAGTGCCAAGTCACCACTAGCCGAACACTCCCAGCACACCCGCTACCGGCACGCTCCCAGGAGCGCCAAGTCCCCATTAGCAGACAGCCAGGTGGCTCCCTCAAGGAGCCCACATACCGGTACACTCCCAGGAGTGCCAAGTTATCGTGGGCCGACACACAGGTTGTACTTCCATACACTCATCCTATTCTGCTCTCCCTCCGATGGCTACGCAGCCACCTCCATTAGTGAGCCGAACAGCTCAGGTTGGGTTCCCCAGAACCCATTCCTGTAACAAAGAGCTTCCTCCGCCGCAGCATTTCCAGCACTTCTCACACCACCTTCCGGTGTTCCTCCAGGGTGGACCTGAAGATCAGAATGTCGTCCATGTAGCAGATAACAACCTCCTGGTCAATGAAGTCCCAGAGGATGTTGTTCATCATAGTCTGGAAGATCGCTGGGGAGTTACACAGCCCAAAGAACATTACCATGGGTTCGAACAGGCCCTGGTCGGTCGCAAATGCCACCTTCCACTTGTCACCATCTTTGATCTGCACATTGTTGAACCCCCAGCACAGATCTAGTGCCGAGAAATACTTCACATTTCAAAGGCGCACAAGGACATCAGAGATGAGTAGGAGGGGGTACGAGTTCTTGACTGTTATCTCATTGAATTTTTGATAGTCTTGGACCAGGCACAGGGACCCATCTTTCTTTTTGACAAAGAATACCAGGGCACCCATTGGCAACTTCGATGGGCATATGCATCCATTCCGCAGGTTTTCACATAGGAACTCATCTAGTTCCTTCTGCTCTGGCCAGGACAGAGGGAAAGTCTTCCCTCTGGGGAGCTTAGCATCGGGGGTCAGATCAATGGCGTGGTACCAGGGCTTCCAGGGGGGCAGCACATCGAAGGCCTCTTTTGAGAATACGGCCTGGAAGTCCCTGTAGTGCTCTGGTACCAGCTCCTCCAACGTTGATGGTTTCGCCTCCATGTCCTGGTGTCAGAGACCAGGTTTGAGACGAAGGGAAGTCTCCGTGGCGGAGGGCTTCAGCCTCAGCGACTTATGCCAAGAGCGCTGTGCCTAGTAACATGTCCATGCCCTAACTTACTAACTGGCAACCAGAACCGAAAGGGGGTAACTCTAGTCGATTTTATTACTGAAGTGTAACCTATGTACAAGTTGGATATATATATGGTTACAGCGAAGACGGGTCCACAAATGGCGGAGCCAAACGGAGCGGAGCTAACGGGGTTAAACATTAGCTGACTGAATATTACCGACGAGTCAGGTTGCAGGGTTAACGGAAAGGCAGGCGATAACCCAGAAACAGAAAGGAGGGATAGGCCCAAAGGTGGGCTCTGCAGGGCAGGCGAGTGTATTGCCCAGCAGAGGCAGGAGTGCGCTAGCGGACGTCGGAGCTGTCCGGAAGTCTTCGGGGCTCCATACTTAGGGAGGCATAGGTAATAAATTGAAAGGAGGGGGTGGTGACCATCGAGGGGTACTGAGGGAATTGCGGAATACGGGAGCTCCGAGGTTAGTGAAGAAGGAGCAGAGGTAGACCAGAGGGATCAGAAGGACCGGAAGTCGATGGCCAGGGATGGATATGACACCAGGGCTTCCTCTGCTAAGCACTGGGATGGCGTTGTCATTGCCCTTAAGTCATGTCCCCACTCTGGTGGGATTCAGTAACTCATGAAAAGTGATAGATGCTCCATGGGCTCCATGGAATTTCATGAAAATTCATGGGATTCCATGGGATTCCATGGGATTTGTTGAAATTTCATGGATTTTCATGGATTTTCATGGAGTTCCATGGATTTTCTGACAAATTACATGACTTTTACAGCCTCCCATGGGTGATCATGGGCTTCTGTGGATGTTCATGGACTCCCATGGATGTTCATGGAATCCCATAGATATTCATGGACTCCCATGGGCATTCATGGACTCTCATGGGTACCCATGGGTGCTCATGGACACCCATGGATGCTCATGAACTCCCAAAGGCCATTTATGTAACAGCTTCTATGTGCTTGTTATTTTGCTCTGTTACAAGGATTTGACACTCAATGCTGCCACAGTGATGTGCAGATGGTCAGAGCAGAGGGGGGGGTTTCCATTGTTCAATCAAGTGTGAAGCAAATATTGCCATAATTAATGATGAAAGTTACTGAAGACAGGTAGCACTGACATGTCTATATTCACCAATACTATTCACATAAATTTTGCTGTGATCAAAACTGATGGAGATGTATGCATGTTTTTCCCTGGGCTCCTCACATGTATGATGCACCTGTGATTGGTTGTAAGGATTGTATTCCCCACCCTTAACCATATATGTAGCCTCATTATGGTATGTACTGATGGACTGGGAGTGTGAGGCTACACCAGTGCTTAAACAAGCACACCAACATATTCAGTGGACACTTGCAGTTGTGGCACAAAAATCAAAGTTCATATTTATTATTATAGAAATGGGATTTTCCCATTTTTAGCCTCTTACGGGCTCTGTGGAGTACAGTATCCCATGCCATGTAAATAGTTAGTATCCAACAACTATCATCACACAAAACCTGGCCCAACCATGTTATTGTAAACCCAGCTCTCACAACCTCTGCCACATTATCTGTAGAATCATCCCTATGCTGACCCCCTATGCTGCACCCAAAACCTATGGAAATGGACCAATTCAGCCCCACAGTTCTAACATTTATACAGACTCCTGTTGACAAAGACTGGATTTGAAAGGGAGGTATGACTCAGTGTTCAGAGGGCTTTGGCCTCAGCAACTCAAGCCAGGAGTGCTGTGCCCAGTAGCATGTTGGGGCCCTAATTTGCAGATACATGAGAAGTCTAGGTGGAGGGCCCATAAATGGCAGGAACCAGGTGGAGCTGACATAACAGGGTCAAGGGTTAGCCAACTAAATATTACTGGCAACTTGGGTTACAGGTTTAACAGACAAAGGAGAATGGAGAGGGCAGTCCAAAGGCAGACTTGCAGGGCAGGCAACTAAATGGCCCAACAGAGTCAGGGGTGTGCTTGTGGACATTGGAGCTGTCTGGAGGCCTTTGGGGTTCCATACTTAGGGAGGTGTAAGTAATATATGGAAATGGGGGGTGGTGACCATTGGGGGGCTCTGAGGTTGGTATGAGTGGAGCAGAGGTAATCAGGGATGGCTGGAGGTGACAGAAGGTGGTGGCAGAGGATGGATATGACACCTGTGAAGACATATGTATAAAGGCTTTTGGTTGGGTCCCCATGGGTCTCTGAGTCCTGCAATTTCAACTGATATTTTCACTTGCTATAGTATTGTCAGGGCACCTCACCTGAACATACAACCCTGAAACTCCTCCCCCCAGTCTCTCCCCATTTTTCCCTATTTTTCCATGTGTATTTACAACCAGGAGCCCACATACAGACCCATGTGACACCCTTTCCAAGCTGTGGGAATGCGCCTGCAGTCACACTATAAACTGGCACAGTCCACTTCCTTTTATAGTAGCTTAGTAGGGGGGAAACTCACCCTTCTTCTCAACTCACTCCCCACTTAGCCCCCTCAGTGAGTTTGAGGAACTACAGGCAGGATCTAGTGCCCCACTGCCCAGAACACTGCACACACCCAACTCTGAGGTCAGGCTGCCCCTGAATGAGGGCTGAGTCTTGACAAGTATGTTGTTGTTCATGCACTGTCATGGACTTCTGTGGACCTCCATAAACATCCATGAACATTCATGGACATTCATGGACCCTTCTAATAATGCTCCCATGGGTATTCATGGGTATCCATGGGCATTCATGGTACCCATGGAATTTCACAGAAATTGGAAGATAATGTTGTACATGGGCTTTCATGGATGTCCATGGGTGTTCATGGCCCCCCATAAAAATCCATGAAAGCCCATGAAAGCCCATGAAAGCCCACAAAAGCCCATGAAAGCCCATGAAAGCCCATGGAAACCCATGAAAACCCATGGATATCCATGGAGCCCATGGGAGATATGTATCACACTTTTCAGATGTTACTCGGTGGGATTATGGCAGCGTAAATCCCGTCCCCAAGCTCTACTTCAAGGGTTCGCTCCATGGTCACTTGTGGCAACCGGCAGGAGGAGGGGCACCAGGACATGACGACTTTCTGCTGTACCCAGTTGACTTCCGGGTTGTGGTGTAACAACCACGAATGCCCAATAATGAGGGACTGCTGCCCTAGGTTTGCAACAGCGAAGCGGGCCCACTCCGTGTGTTGACCAAACGTCAGCAGGGCTTCCAGCTCTTCAGTGATGGCTCCATTCTCATTGGGTGTTCCATCTACGTTTCGTACTGGGACAGGTTGGGGGAGCAGGGTCGTCTCGAGCCTGTGTTTTCTGACAAAGTCTGGGCTTACGAAGTTCCCAGTTGTGCTGGAGTCTAACAGCACTGATGCAAGCGGGCTAGAGATCTAACCCCCTAAATGCAAGCAAATTCGTGGGGAGGGAGTCTGGGATGTCCTAAGCTTGTCCTAGGTTCGGTCTGGGTGCTAACAAAACAAAAATCACAAAAACTCGTTAAGAATTACGTACCCCCTGGTCCATCTTGGACAATCGTCAGGGATCCCTTATAATACTCAAGGAGTCAAGCTTAGAATTTCTCTCTTTTTCTTGGATCTCTCAGCGCTTGTCAGGATACCGAGCTGCTCGGAGCTAAGGTCAAGAGATCCAGTGGAAGTGGAGGTAAGACTAGGAAGGTCTGGGTCGGTCTCAATAGGAGAACTGCAAGGTGTGCTAGGCGACACAGGCTCCAGCTGAGCAGCAAGGGGAAATGAGTTGTATTCCAGCCACTATGTTACTATGTACAACATACCTGAGCAGCGAGGGGAAATGAGAGAAGAAAGCTGGTCTTCCTGCTCGCTACTCAGGGTGTAATATACTGTAGCCCACACACACAGCTAATCTATGAGGCACTTTACATACCAACAATCAATGATCCAGGTTTGTCTGGCTGTGTTGGATCATGGATCATGGAACATGGATCTTGGAGTGGGATCAGATCATAAGGCTGTACAGGGATCATGGATCATGGAATCTGGGTGATCATAGATCATGGAATCAGATCATGATGGTAAGTAGGCTGGAAGTGGCCGGAAGTGGGTGTACTCTGACAGTGCTACAGTCTTTTTGTAGTCAAAAGGGAGATCGCTCTTCCATTCCTATGTGTACAGAGCTTTTAAACACATGGAACGGCAATAATGTGGAAAAACAAATGAAAAGAAAATATAAAACCAAAGATTGTTGCTACAGACACCATGTGGACCGTTTAGTATGGCCAATAAGTCCAATGGCCGACATGGAAGTTCAATAAAAGAAAGACAGGAGTGATAAGCCGGTCATATCTGCTAATAATTGCCATCCTCCACCAATTTCCACCATCAAACTACACTCATCCACCTCTTCCTACCCGTAGCATCCTTTGTGATTTTTCTGAATTTTTCTGAGCACTCCAGAGTGCATTTTGGTTGTTTGTTTACTTCAGGATGGCTTGTGATTTCCATTTTGGGCTGAAAACCAGTTTTGCGATCTCCCAAAGTACGGATCTCAGCTCCGCCGCACAGGACTTTTGACACTGCCACTCTCACATGCCTTTCAACATTGTGCAGAACCTCACGGTAAGATGAGAAATCACCACCACCATTGTTCCACAATGGCTGGGTCGATCTGGACGAAATTCAGGGAATCCATAGTCATGATTTTTCTCTATTTCTTGAGCCCTTGATCGTCTTTTGGCAGCCAGTAGCGCCAAGCATAGTTTTTGGGCTGGACCAATTCAGTACCAGCACATTATGCACAATTGTACTCCATAATAAATGAAATAAAATGTTCTTATGCGCCATTGGCATTGGTAGGTGATCATCACATATGGGAAATCCTTAAGGAACATAAAACTGCGAAAATACTGGCGGTGTAGGGTATAGTAGGTTATCCTGCCTACACCGACACAGCAACCATGGTGAGGGACGGTAGTGTGGTCACTTTCACCTTCATGTTGAGGGAGTGGGGGGACTGTTTGGCAAGCACACAGATGGCAGGCAGGGAGACAGCCACCTGGGGTGGTAGGCTAGCAGCTCTGGTGTGTTCTCTGGCTGAGGATGTGGTTTTCCTCTGTTTTTTAGCAATTACCTGGTGGAATTTGGATAGCAGCGCAGACTTGCATGTCTCTCTGTATCTACACTGGGTACTATTGCTCAGGGGTGGCTGGGACACATCCTTCACTGGTCGCCTACTTGAAAACCCTCCATGGGGTCTGCTTCCTCTGCCTCCTCATCCCTCTCAGGTGTCCCCATCAGTTGGCTCCTCAGCCCCTCTGCAAGCGCTCGAAGGTCCTCTGGGTGCATGCAGCGTATTTGGCAGACCTTCAGGAGGGGGCATGTCAGGGACAGCTCTGAAAGTGGTGAGGTCCCAGCATGCAGGGCTCAGTGGGACAAATAGCGGCTATGTGTAGCAGCGGTCCTGTCCTGGGGTGAGCGTCCCTGACCACTTAGTTTGAAGTGGGAATGTGAGAAGAAGGCTACTTCTTCAGTTCCACTCCAGCTGTTATTATATACATGCAGGGTCGATCATGTGGGGTGCGCCATGTCACCCTTGCACACAGCCATGGCTCTCCAGGTGTCTCCATGGGAGATCCCAAGAGGGTCCATTGTAGGTGTGAGGTGAGCACAGTGGTGGTGACAGCGATATGGGGATGGTAAGATACAGGAGGGGGAATGGGCATGTGCACCGGTGGTACATTGAACAGTGGGAAAGGTGGTCCATGTAAGAGAGAGAAAGAGAGAAAGAAAGAAGAAAGATACAAGGAAGAAAGAGGAAAGGAAGAAGATGCAGTGCAGAGCAGGGAAGCAGAGCAGGGGTCAGGTGGGGCATGTCAGGGCATGCCCTGACATCACCCCCTCCTTAAGCCACTTCACCTCGAAGTAGCTGGGCGGTCTTCTCTTTCTCTCCCTGGGGCATGAGGGTGTGTCCACTGGAAATCTTCCACTAGGTCGGGGGCATGGGTCAGGTGGTTGCACGTGAGCCACTGGTTCTCTGAGTTTGGCCAGCCTGTATACTTTACCAAGTACCAGAGTTTTCAGCACCACCATCTGGAGTCCAGGATTTTTTCGACCTCATACTCCTCTTCCCTGTCTACGAGGTCTGGGCCCAGGCAGGGGTTGGCAGGGCGTTCCACGATCTCATCAGGGCAGTGTGGCCTGATGTTCATCATGGACACAACCGGGTGGATTCCCTTCTGTCACGCGATGAGTCGGAGTTTGACGGCAGTGGGGGAGACAACTTTGGTGATCCTGAAGGGGCCAATCCACTTGTGGTTGTCAGGGCCCGGCCCTCGTTCCGCGACAGGCCCAGGGGGATCCTCCTAGTCGCTGGGGTATCTAGTCCCAGTCCGAGATCTTCAAACTCACTGAGGGGGCTAGCCCCAGCCTTCACAGGAAATGAGTTGCTGTGCATTTAGGGAGAAGGTAGTTACACTTGCCTTCACAGGAAATGAGTTGAGAAGAAGGGTAACCTTCTCAACCTCCTGTGAAGCCGCTACAAATGGGAGTCGGGAACTATACAGTTTTCGGCTCTTTGCCGACTTTCCATAATTGGCACCCCCCCATGGGAAGATTCTGGGCGAGCTGCTCACCCAGAAAGTTCCCACAGTCATGGCTGTGATGGTTTCTGGGCGAGTTACTCGCCCAGAACATTCCCATGGGTCTGCATGCATGCAGGATTGTGGAACAGTGAAGGGAAAAATAGGAGAAAATGGGGGAGGGGTGCCTGGGGGTGTGTGGGGTCAGGGGCTGTGCCCTGACAGTGGTCTAGCTTCTTGGTCGGATGGTCAGTCATGTAGTTCTGGGTGCTAAGCCAGACCTGGTCACCTTCTTGGTATGTAGGGGCTGCCCTGCAATTGCGGTTGTAGTAGCAGGCCATCTCATCTGCCATGTGCTCCAGCGCTGCCTTCGCCTCCTCTTGCATTTTCATCATTCTTGAGGAGAACGCATCTGCGGCTTCCACCTCGGATGTGTGCGTGGGCTCTGTCTCCATCCTGGGGTGTTGCCTGTTGTTGAGCTCAAAGGGGGTTTGGCAGGTAGTGGAGTGGACGTGGTTGTTGTAGGTGAACTCCACTAGCAGGAGCCAGTCCGCCCAGTCGTCTTGGTGGTGGTTGACGAACACTCGAAGGTAGGCTTCTATCTCCTGGTTTACCCACTCGGTTTGTCCATCCATCTGGGGGTGGTAGGGTGTTGAGGGGGTGAGCTTGACTCCGAGGAGGTCTGCGAGTTCCTTCAAGAAGCAGGAGATGAAGGCACTTCCTCTATTGCTGAGGATCTCTTCAGGTAGGCCATGGTGCCTCCAGACGTGTTTGAGGAAGAGCCACACGATTCCCACTGAGTCCACCATCGTCACTGTAGGGACCACATGGATGCGCTTGGACAGGTGGTCCACCACGACAAGAATGGCATTGTACCCCTTCGACTTGGGAAGCTCCCCTACCATGTCGACAGAGATCACTTGCCAGTGGTGTGTGGGGACCTTGTTTGGGATGAGCTTTCCGACCTTACAGGAGGGGAAAGACTTGATGCGGTTACAGGTGTCGCACCCACACACATACCATCCTACATACTCCACCATCCGGGGCCACCAGTAGTCATGGGAGACAAGTTCCAGGGTCTTCCATCGCTGTTACGGGGATGGGGGAAATTCCCCATTCCTCGATCCGTTCTTATAGTGGGATGACGAGGGTCATGTATAGTTTGTACCATAACTGGAAGTGTAATCGATGAGTCTTGCCCGGGAGTGGACGATCGAATTCCCATCGATCATGATGGGTGATGTAGTGAGCTATTAAGGGGTTGATGATATGTAGTCGGAGATACCAGGACAGATGGGCCAGCCACGGGTACTTGGCGCTCCTCAATGGAGCGTACCGTGTGCGAGGTTACGACTTGCGGGATGGACGAGAACCTCGTGTAGTTGCCATCGGGTACTTGGCGTTCGCAGTGCGAACGTACCGGTGGCGGGTTGATATCATAGGCGTGCAATGAGGACCGACTATTAGGGCCTTCGGTGACTTGGCGTTCCCAAGGGGAACGTACCGTTGGCGGGGACACATGTTGACTGGCAAAGGAAGTAACAGACGGCGGATGGGCGGCTACTTGGCGTTCACGTAGCGAACGTGCCGGCATCGCGGGTGAGGGGGCCTCATAGAGTTCGCGATCACTATGATCGTGATGGGATGTCGTATGTTGAGTACTGGGGGGAGAGCGTAGTGATGAAGAACCATAGGGTACAGATTCAATAGGACGATACACATGTCGAGAGTCTTCGACTCTCGACCTCGAGTTCTCGCGGCGAGGGCCGTTAGAGGACTCGATATACCCAGACTTATAAGACATATTGAGAGTTGTACAGTCACACGAGTTCAGTTGAGTCACAGGGAGGGTTGTTACAGAAGATGGTACACGAAGCAGTTGTAGAGCAGTTGTTAGTTAGCGGGAACCGCCTTCGGCGGTTTCCGTACATGACGCGTGACTATCTACAAATGGTAAGGTCGCGGGATTTCCCGCGAAACACAAATAACCTCGGCCAGCACCAAAACCCCAGTTGGGGAAAGCTTTGCACGAGGGGGGGGGAAAGGGGTAGAACGGGTAAGGAGGATAGAGTATCGGGATAGAGGATGAAAGGGAGAAAGAAAGGAGGAACGATAGTGAGGAGGGGTCTTTGACCATGTGACGGATATGGTCGTTGGAGACTCCGTATCCGTAACAATCGCCCTGGGTGCCCTGTCGCCTGTGCGTCATGGTGTAACTGCACCAGGTCGTGGCAGAGTTGCAGGTCCTTGGGGACATATATTCTCCCCCTGTATAGGACTAGCTCTCCCTGTTTCTCCCATTCATCTGACCTAACCATCCCTTCTCCTAGTTCTCACATGGCCTTCACCACACTCTCATCCAGGTCCCTTGCTCCACGGATCCTCTCGAGGATAGTCAT